GCGCCCCCCATCGAGCGACGCCCAACCGCAGGGCGGCGCCCGGCGGGATGGCCCCGCACCGGCGCGCCGTTCCCAGGCGGCTGCTGGGCGCGGGCCTGTGCTGCGCGGCGTGCGGGCCGCCGGTGGCCCGCCGCGGGCTGCTCGCGGCGCCGCTCGCGGCGCCGCTCGCGGCGCCGCCGCGGGCCTGGGCGGCGCCGTGGGCGCCCGCCGCTCCTGCGGCCCCGCGCGCCGAGTCCGGGCGCTACCCGCGGCCCAGCTTCGAGGGCTTCGGAGAGGCCCAGGGGGGAGGAGGGGGGATGCCGATGCTCGGGCCGGACGAGAAGGGGGGGATACAGGGGAAGGGGGGGTGCGGAATCTGCTGCATGCAGCTGGTTTCGGCCTCGCCGCGGGGCCCATGCCTCGATACACGGGCGCCGCCGGGAAAATCAGCTACGTGAGCTGATTTCCCCCCCCCCACTTGTTATCCCCCCCTTTCGCCCGGCCCGAGAGGAGGGTGAGTCAGAGGGGGGATACCGATGCCGCTGCTCGCTTCCCTCGTTTTTGTTCGCCCTGCTGGGGGGCCTCCTGTGCGGCCCTCGCCGCCACGGCCGCAGTTGCCTCGAAGCTCTGGTCAGAGTCAGAATGCACCCCGGGAGAGGTCCGGGGAGCAGTCCTCAGAAGCGACTACCGCTTTCCCCCTCTCTTTCGGCGAAGCTATATCGCTTCTCGCCCTTGGAAGTAGTATCCCGCCTCTGGTCCTAGTAGGGTTCCAGCAAGACCCCCTTCGGACATCGCTCCGCGGTTCCCACCCCCCTCGGGAGGTGCTGGAACTGAGCTCAGAGCCGCCCGTGTGGCTCGTGCGCGACTTTCTGAGCCGCGAGGACTGCGCGTCCCTGATCGAGGACGGGCGAACGGCCGTCCGGCCGGAGAAGGTGTACGAGGGCTCCTTCGTGGTGTTCGACGAGGATAGGCGGCGCAATCCAAACCCTACCTTCGCCGATCCACGATTCGGGAAACTCGATGGGCGGCGGGGGTAGAGTATGGGATTCGTCGAGCACGTGGCGAACTTCGAGCCCTGTCCCCGCCTCCCATGGACTCAGGAGGATCGATGGTGGTTGGGGGAGAGGTTCGGAGGTCGCCTCCCAGAGGACCGCCTGAGGCCGCTGCTGCTCTTGGGCCCTCTGTGCGCTGCCGCCACGTTCCCCGATCTTTCCACCTCCACCTCCCGTGCCTTCCTGGGTAGTCGAAGGCCAGACTGTCAGATTGGATTGGGCCCCAAGGGCCAATCTGGCCCGGCCAAACTGGATGACTTGGGTTATTCGCCAGACTGGATCCGCGTTGGCCCCCTCGCCAGATTGCCCCCGTTTGCCAGATTGGGCCTGCCAGATTGGCGCCAGATTGGCTTCGACTACCCAGGCCGACCTCCGCGGAAGGTGTGCAAGAATGCGCCACATTTCTGGGGAAAACCCTGCGTCCTCCAACGAAGCGCACATCGGCCACATCGAAAAAGGAGCGGAAAGTTGGGGCGGAAGGTCCGGAATCCTGAGGGGGAGGGGTCTCCGACGACAGGGCTGGACCTGAACGCTGTTTTGCTGGACTTCGGCCGTGCTTTGTGTTTCGTTTTGGCAGGCAGGCACAGGAAAGCAGGCCGAGCAAAACGAAGAAGAACAAAGCAAAAAACAATACAGCAAACAACGTTTAGGTCCAGCCTTAAGTCGGGCCTGTCCCTCGACAGGAGGAACATTCAAAACTTGTAAAACATGGACTTGGGACGTTTTTTTGTTGTTCTCGACATGTTTGATTAATTCAGGGTATTCTTATTAATTTTTCGCTTAAGATCGGCCTGTAGGGGGACAGGCCCGACTTACGTCCAGCCCTGTCCGACGAGGTGTCTTCTTCGATCCGGGCGCCCCTCCTCGATCTCGGCCACTCGGGGGGCATCGGGCACGGATGCCGCCCGGGGCGCAGAGAGCGACCCCTTCGGGCCGCGGAGGGAAGAGATCGCATCTCAGGCGATCGCAAACGTGGATCCTCAGGGGGGGGGAGGAGGAGGAGGAGGAGGAGGAGGAGGAGGAGGAGGAGGAGGAGGAGTGAGGATGAGGAGGAGGAGGAGGAGGAGGAGGGGGAGGAGGAGGAGGAGGAGGAGGAGGAGGGGGGGGCGGAGGGCGGAGGGCGGAGGAGGGAGGAGGAGGGACGAGGAGGAGGAGGAGGAGGAGGGGAAGGAGGAGGAGGAGGAGGAGGAGGAGGAGGAGGAGGAGGAGGAGGAGGAGGAGGAGGAGGAGATGGAGGAAGAGAATGAGGAGGAGGAGAAGGAGGAGGAGGAGGAGGAGGAGGAGGAGGAGGAGGAGGGGGCGTGGATCAGCGACGGGTCCCGTTTCCACAGGAAAAATCGCGGACTTCCGCCGCCGAACGAGGCGGCACCGGCCGCACTTTGGGGAGGGCATGGATTTGCCGACCGCGCGCCAAGTCCATGGATCGCTAATCCATGTTTGCGCGCCCCCGAGCATCGGCGAACGCCGAGGTACTCGTTCCGGGAGGGCGACCTCGCGGCGGCCGCCCTGGCCCTTGGCGCCTTCGCGGGGGCCGTGCTGCTGCTCAAGGCCCCGTGGGGGGCACCCGCACACCACCAGGCCTGGCCGGCTCCCGGCCGTCGGCCGGGGCGGCATGCGCACTATGCCAGGGCTCAGAGGGGCGAATTGCCCAGGGGAGAGCAATACATGTATTCAGGTGCGCCGATGATCTATGTCTTCGAAAAGGCTCCAGGGAGAGTACGTGTAATGCCCGCCCCTGGGCTATTCGCAACTATCGTCGCCGCCGAAGGGCGCAGGATGCTCCTGACTTGGCATGCTGGTGCTGCGTGCTTGAATCAGCGCGGGGATTGCCGAGGGGATTTGGGGGTCCACCAGTTGACGGCGAGGTGGGTTATATCTGGCCTGACCTGGCTTATCAGTGGGTTGCATGTATCTACGTAAGAGCCCTGAGTGGCTTTGGCGGGTTGGATGACTCCGCAAAGTGGGCGGGGCCCACTCAGCCCGGATCGTCACCCCCCTCAGCCACTTGGGGTACTTGTAACCTGCTTGTGAGCTGGGTTCGGCTAGATCTAGCCCACCTTGGCATCCACCTAGAACCCCCTCCCTAACTTCTTAGCCCCTCCCGCGCTAATCCAAGCAGCAGGGCGCTTCCTGCGCAGCGAACAGGAGGGCCTGCGCTGGTACATGACCAGCGCGACCGCGTCTGGCGGCAAGGGCGGCGCGCGCTTCTCTGGGACCAAGTGGCAGCTCTGCCCTCCGCTCCCGGGCGAGGACCCGCGTGGCGGCGCCAGGGGACGCCTGCTGGAGCGGGCGAGGCTGCTATGCGGCGTCCCGAGCGTGAGCTGGCTTGTGCCTCCGACCCTGACGCGGTACTCAGCGGCAACGTCAGCGGGTTGTCGGATACTTCGTCGGGCTCCGGCCTGGGGTTTTCGGATGTCCTCGTCGGCTCCTGCAGGTTTTCGAGCCTCGGGATGCGTTTCGGCAGCTGCGCTTCGCCGAGAGGCATCCCGATGAGTCCAAAGGTGTCCGGATCGCCCCGAAAGGACGCCAGAAACCCCATTCGTGGACATGAAACCAGGCGACGAGGATCACTGGGGGGGATAGACTCATGGGGGGATGCATCGACCCCCAATCGTCCACTCATCGCCGATAAGAGGCCTGATGGCCCACCCCGCCCAGGAGCGTGCGATCTCGCCAGCGAGGGCGTGTTGCCGATCTGTCGGAGATGTATCTCGCCGATCCCAGGTCGACGAATGGGCGAGGAGTGGGTCATTGGGGGGTCGAAGCTTCCCCCCCCCCCTGAGCCAGTCTTGTCTGGTTTCCTGGCCCCCCCCGGAGCGCTCTCGGCGAGGCGCAGCCGCCCGAGCGCGCCCCGAGGCTGGGGCACCTCCGAGGACGGACGACGGCGCCCTCGCACCTCGCACCTCGTCGCTGCCGACCCCGAGCCATTGGCCGCCCTGCAGGCTGCTCTCTCTACTCCAGATTTCGTAATAAAGGGAGGGGGGTCTCATTTCGGAGGGGGTCTCTTCCAGGCTATCTTGGAGGGCCTGGGGGGTCTGGGGACGATGTTTTGGAGGGTTCTCCCACGGGGGAGGTCTGAAATGGCTTGTCTTGGAGGGTCCAGACCCCCTCCCTTTTATTACGAAATCTGGAGTAGGGTCCGGCGGTGACCCGGGGCATCCTGCCGCGCAGGTCCTGAGGGGGATGCGCGGTGTTGGTGCGCGCGGGCGTACGTGGGGCTGCCCACAGCGAACGGGTCAGGTTGCCTCCCCCCCCTCGCCTCGTGCCTCTTCGGGCACGATGGCTCTCGTGCCTCCTGGGGGTTATATATATATATATATATATATATCCTCCTCGCCTCGTACCTCCTCGTGTTGTATCCCCCTCACCGGATATGGCTCTCGTAGTGTGGAATTCGATTACGAGATGGGAAGCATGCTGCCAAATAATTGTTAGATGTCTAAAACATGTTTTAAACACGCTTCAAACATGCAACAACAGGTCTGACACATTTCCAGGACATGTTTTACACATTGGGGATACATTTTTAGTTCAATGATAGGGCTGTTAGGGTGTCCATTCTCGTGGCATCCACAAGGTGAGGGGGAGGGGGGCAGGTTCCTTAGAAGGAGGCTGCTTCTTAGAAGGCGGCGGCCTTCTCATCGTTTGATAGGGCCGGCGCCTTCTAAGAAGCAGCCTCCCTCCAAGAAGCCTTCCCCCCTCCCCCGACCTCGGGGGTCGCGAAAGGTGCCTCCTCAGGTATAGGCGCGGCGAGGGCCAGGACGCACACGTGGACTCGCGGGAGCGCCCGGGCGTGGGGGCCGCGCGGGCCGAGCGCGAGGCCTTCGAGGCCCAGGGCGGCCAGAGGGTGCTGCAGTGCCTCGCCTACCTGAACGACGTGGACGCCCCGCAGCACGGGGGGCGCTCGCGGGGGGCAGGAAGCCACGACTCACCACCCAACAAACCACCCCAACCCAACCCGAAGGCCTCAGTTTGCCTTCCATTTCCAGTAGGGGGGGGGGTCGGGGAACATTGAAAAAACACATGGAACCCGTACCCCCCCCAACCCGAAATTCGGGTCAAATCCGGGTCTTCGGGTTGGGCCAGGGTTGGGGTTGTCTGGTAGGTAGTCAACGACGGCCCCCACTTCCGCTCGTTGTGAAAAGGCAGCGATGGGAGGTGCTTGGCGATTTTCGGCCTCTGGGGCCCTCGTTGGGCCCCAGGAAAAACTACTCAGGATGGATCTCTGGTCTCTGGTCCTGCGGACAGGGTCCAGACCTCTGTGGCTCCGCACTGTGAGAAAATAGCAATGTCGGAGTTCACACCCTGAGACCCAGGCGTTGCATTTTTTCACACAGGGCGTTTTTTCGAGTGCTTTCGGGCCTTGGGGCCATGACAGATAGATCCGGTTCGAATAATGCTGCAGAAAGATTGGGTCCAGGGCTCCAGTCGTTGCTGCGAAGCTTTTTATTTTTTCGCCAAGTCTGATCTCGGGGGCTGACGGCGGCGACCGCGACGGCAACGGCGACGAGCCTCTCCACCAGACCTCACGCGCGCCTCGCTGGGCACGTCGCGCGCGCGCCAGCCTCCAGAGAGACAGTGAGAGGAAACACATGCCGATACCGACGCCCTTCCCTCGTTATCGCCTCTTTGTGGGTCTCACGGAGGGTCCTCGCCGCCGCGGTCGGATGCGCTTCGGAGTTTCGGTCGGAGCGAGCCCCGAGGTAGAAGTCTTTCGGATCAGTGGCATCGGTAGCCTCCTGTCCCCACAGAAGGTGTTCGATCATGTTCCCCTTGTTCGGATGCAACTTCTGGGAGGTCAAATTCTGATTTTGCCCTGGTCCGAAATCCGGCTTAATCCGGCTTCATCCCGTTTAATGCCGCTGAATCCCGCTGAATCCCGCTCAATCTGGCTTAATCCCGCTTAATCCGAGGGCCACTCCGACGTAACAGCTCCCAAATGGCGCTTAATCTTCTTTAATCTTCCCGACGAAAGCCTCCCAGTAGTCGCCACCTATTGAACGTCACCGCCCAGCTCTCGCGCCCAAGACCACCGAAGACCGACGAAGATCGTCAGAAGACCGCCAACAAGACGGCCGAAGACCGCCAGGAGACCGTCGCAGACCGCCGAGGACCGCCCAGGGCTGGTTGGTAAGAAGGGTCGGCCACGCGCAAAGGGGTAGGGTTGTGGAGGACGATCAATGGAGAGAAAGCATGTAGCAAAATGATTTCCAGTAGTCTAAAACATGTGTTAAACATGCTCTAAACATGTTAAAACATGTTTAAAACATGTGTATAACACTTTCCGACATTTTAAACACAGTTTAAATTCAATGATAGGACTGTTAGGGTGTCCATTCTCGTGGCATCCACAAGGTGAGGGGGAGGGGGGCAGGTTCCTTAGAAGGAGGCTGCTCCTTAGAAGGCGGCGGCCTTCTCATCGTTTGATAGGGCCGGCGCCTTCTAAGAAGCAGCCTCCCTCCAAGAAGCCTTCCCCCCTCCCCCGACCTCGGGGGTCGCGAAAGGTGCCCCTGGCCCAAGGTGCCCCCAACTGTTCGTTCATTTTTGGAGCCCCTGGGGCCCTGTGGGCCTCGTCAGGGGTGCCCCGGAGGCCGCGGGGGCCTCCTTGGTGATCCTGGGGGCACCCTGGGCCAGGGGCACTTCTAGCGGCACCCGGCTGATTTACCCCCCTCGGCGCGCCGCCAACGGCGGGCAACGAGGGGCCCCTCACCCGTGGCCCACAGGCACACGTGCTTCCACAGGGGCACCCTGGACGGACTCCGCGTGCGGCCCGAGGCGGGGAGCGCCCTGGTCTTCTGCGTCTCGCTCGCGGGCGGCGAGGAGGACCTGCGGATGGTGCACTCCGCGGAGGCGCTCCGCGGGGACGTGGACCTCGGGCGGCGAGAACCGCCCGCGCGCGTGCGCCCAGTCCTGGCCAGGCCCCCCGCGGTCCCAGGACTGGCGCGTGCATGATCCCAGGTCGAGGGCTGAGTCGGGCCTGTCCCTCTACAGGAAGGCTATTCAATAATAGGAAAATAATATGGGGACTATTCTGGCTGTCTTTAGGGCGGGTTTAGGTTGAGTTGGTTGAGTGTGTTGGTGTTTTGATGCCGACGGCGATTGTAATGATGGTGGTTATCAAATCGTAGTGCTGATGGTGGTGGCGATGGTGATGGTGATGATGGTGGTGCTCATCACATCCAGAATCACCATCATCACCATCACCATCATCACCATCCCCATCATCATCATCATCATCACCATCATCATCATCATCATCATCAGCATCACCATCATCATCATCATCACCATCCATACCATCAGCATCACCATCACCATCACCATCGTCACCATTGTGGTCCGTAGGACTTGGCTCAAGGTAATGTCGTCGTCCGCTCCTGCGGTTTCCCCGAACCCTCCTTCGGTTTTCTCGAGCCCTGCGGCCTCCCCGAGCCCTGCGGCCTCGTCCTCTCCGTTGGTTTCCCCGAGCCCTGCTTCTTCGAGAGCGCCCTCGGCGGCTTCTTCGACAGCGGCCGCGGCGGTTTCTTCGAGAGCGGCATCCTCGAGCCGTGCGGCCTCGTCGAGAGCGGCCCCGTCGAGCCGCGCGGCCTCGGCGGCCTCGTCGAGGGCAGCTTCGCCAAGCCGTGGCAGCTGCAACAGCTCGGACGCCGATGCTGACGTAGGGTCCGACGCCGACGGCGCCGACGGAGTTGCCGACGCAGCGGGCTCCGAAGAGGACAGCGGCTCCAACAGCGGCTCCGAAGAGGACAGCGGCTCCAGCAGCGAGGCAGCCGCGGCTGCAACAGCGAAGGCGAAGGCCGCCCCGAGCAAAGTAGTCGAGAAGTTCCAGCCTTCGTTGTCTATGACCCTGGAGGAGCACGTCGCCAGCCGCGACTACCCAAAGCACGTCTCCACCTGCGGCGCTTGCAAATTTTGGAAGAACAAGGAGAAGTGGAGCGCCTCGATGTCTGCGACGAATCCAGTAACACTGAAGAGTGAAACTTGGATAGGCTGCGTAGGTGGTAGATTTGCAGTCTGCTTGTTCTGCTCGGCGTTCAAGGGCGCTCGTTGCATATCCACCCTAGGCCAGGGATCCTGGAGTTTCCAACGCAAGGAAAACCTCGTGCGCCATGCGCAGTGCGAGGGGCACCAGGCAGCAGAAGCGGCGCGGAAAGAGCGGATTCGAGCGGAAGGTGCGCGCCAGGGTCTCCCCGTGTCTGTGTTCCCCACAACGGCTGCATCAGCTGCAGCAGCTGCAACAGCCGTGGCGCCTGCGCCCGTCGTCGTCCGCGCCGCCGACCGGCGCCCTGGTTGCCGCGCAGTGGTCGCCGCCCGTGCAATGTTGGAGACGTCCAGTTCCTTCAGTAGTTTCGACGTGTGGCGGGATGCGTTCGTTGGGGGCGACCGCCAAGTTTTGAAGTCTAGTCAGCAGCGCCGAAGGCCGGTGACCACCATGGCTCAGCACGAGAAGATCAACGCGCAGAGGATCCTCAAACATGGTGCTGTTTTTCGTTTGGCTGCGGACGGCCTCGACCGCGCGTACCAGGTCGAAATTGGCGCCGTGCTGTGGTCGATCCCGAAGGCTTTGGACTTCCTCCCAAGCTACGGTCTCAAGGCAGGCTGGCTGGAACAGCTGGGCCCCAGAGGGCCCTGGATCGTGGATCGGGTGATCGGGATGCGGGAGTTCCCGCGGGGCATGGACTGCGACGGCAAGGCTTCCATGCTGGGGGAGTGCGTCCGTCGCGCGTGCCAGACGGCAGGCGGGGAGCTGGGCGGGGACTTGCACAAGCATGTGCGACAGGAGACTCGGGCATGGTGCAGCGATGGGGCGGATCTAAGTTTACCCCTGGCTGCAACAGCTACGTTCCCTGGGCTGGCGTTTCACGCGTGGGGCGAGTCTCACTCGTCCCAGAAGGTTCTGGCCAATTCGATGAAAGGAGACAGCGAAATAACGACCGCGGACAAGCTGCTGGTAACGGGTAAGAAGCCGCCAAGTCGAGCGCGGCATCCTCAAGCCGTGCGGCATCCTCGAGCCGTGCGGCCTCGTCGAGAGCGGCCCCGTCGAGCCGCGCGGCCTCGGCGGCCTCGTCGAGGGCAGCTTCGCCGAGCCGTGGCAGCTGCAACAGCTCGGACGCCGATGCTGACGTAGGGTCCGACGCCGACGGCGCCGACGGAGTTGCCGACGCAGCGGGCTCCGAAGAGGACAGCGACTCCAACAGCGGCTCCGACAGCGGCTCCGAAGAGGACAGCGGCTCCAGCAGCGAGGCAGCCGCGGCTGCAACAGCGATGGCGAAGGCCGCCCCGAGCAAAGTAGTCGAGAAGTTCCAGCCTTCGTTGTCCATGACCCTGGAGAAGAACGCCGCCAGCCACGACTACCCAAAGCACGTCTCCACCTGCGGCGCTGGCAAATTTTGGAAGAACAAGGAGAAGTGGAGCGCCTCGATGTCTGCGACGAATCCAGTAACACTGAAGAGTGAAACTCACCTCGCGCGCCATGCACAGTGCGAGGAGCACCAGGCAGCAGAATCGGCGCGGAAAGAGCGGATTCGAGCGGAAGGTGCGCACCAGGGTCTCCCCGTGTCTGTGTTCCCCACAACGGCTGCATCAGCTGCAGCAGCTGCAACAGCCGTGGCGCCTGCGCCCGTCGTCGTCCGCGCCGCCGACCAGCGCCCTGTTTGCCGCGCAGTGGTCGCCACCCGTGCAATGTTGGAGACGTCCAGTTCCTTCAGTAGTTTCGACGTGTGGCGGGATGCGTTCGTTGGGGGCGGCCGCCAAGTTTTGGAGTCTAGTCAGCAGCGCCGAAGGCCAGTGACCACCATGGCTCAGCGCGAGAAGATCAACGCGCAGAGGATCCTCAAACATGGTGTTGTTTTTCGTTTGGCTGCGGACGGCCTCGACCGCACGTGCCAGGTCGAAATTGGCTCCGTGCCGTGGTCGATCCCGAAGGCTTTGGACTTCCTCCCAAGCTACGGCCTCAAGGCAGGCTGGCTGGAACAGCTGGGCCCCAGAGGGCCCTGGATCGTGGATCGGGTGATCGGGATGCGGGAGTTCCCGCGGGGCATGGACTGCGACGGCAAGGCTCCCATGCTGGGGGAGCGCGTCCGTCGCGCGTGCCAGACGGCAGGCGGGGAGCTGGACGGGGACTTGCACAAACATGTGCGACAGGAGACTCGGGCATGGTGCAGCGATGGGGCGGATCTAAGTGCACCCCTGGCTGCAACAGCTACGTTCCCTGGGCTGGCGTTTCACGCGTGGGGCGAGTCTCACTCGCCCCAGAAGGTTCTGGCCAATTCGATGAAACGAGACAGCGAAATAACGGCCAGGGACGAGCTGCTGGTAACGGGTAAGAAGCCGCCAAGTCGAGCGCGGCATCCTCAAGCCGCGCGGCATCCTCGAGCCGTGCGGCCTCGTCGAGAGCGGCCCCGTCGAGCCGCGCGGCCTCGGCGGCCTCGTCGAGGGCAGCTTCGCCAAGCCGTGGCAGCTGCAACAGCTCGGGCGCCGATGCCGACGTGGGGTCCGACGCCGACGGCGCCGACGGAGTTGCCGACGCAGCGGGCTCCGAAGAGGACAGCGGCTCCAACAGCGGCCCCGACAGCGGCTCCGAAGAGGACAGCGGCTCCAGCAGCGAGGCAGCCGCGGCTGCAACAGCGAAGGCGAAGGCCGCCCCGAGCAAAGTAGTCGAGAAGTTCCAGCCTTCGTTGTCCATGACCCTGGAGAAGCACGTCGCCAGCCACGACTACCCAAAGCACGTCTCCACCTGCGGCGCTTGCAAATTTTGGAAGAACAAGGAGAAGTGGAGCGCCTCGATGTCTGCGACGAATCCAGTAACACTGAAGAGTGAAACTTGGATAGGCTGCGTAGGTGGTAGATTTGCAGTCTGCTTGTTCTGCTCGGCGTTTAAGGGCGCTCGTTGCATATCCACCCTAGGCCAGGGATCCGGGAGTTTCCAACGCAAGGAAAACCTCGCGCGCCATGCGCAGTGCGAGGAGCACCAGGCAGCAGAATCGGCGCGGAAAGAGCGGATTCGAGCGGAAGGTGCGCACCAGGGTCTCCCCGTGTCTGTGTTCCCCACAACGGCTGCATCAGCTGCAGCAGCTGCAACAGCCGTGGCGCCTGCGCCCGTCGTCGTCCGCACCGCCGACCAGCGCCCTGGTTGCCGCGCAGTGGCCGCCACCCGTGCAATGTTGGAAACGTCCGGTTCCTTCAGTAGTTTCGACGTGTGGCGGGATTCGTTCGTTGGGGGCGACCGCCAAGTTTTGGAGTCTAGTCAGCAGCGCCGAAGGCTGGTGACCACCATGGCTCAGCACGAGAAGATCAACGCGCAGAGGATCCTCAAACATGGTGTTGTTTTTCGTTTGGCTGCGGACGGCCTCGACCGCACGTGCCAGGTCGAAATTGGCACCGTGCTGTGGTCGATCCCGAAGGCTTTGGACTTCCTCCCAAGCTACGGCCTCAAGGCAGGCTGGCTGGAACAGCTGGGCCCCAGAGGGCCCTGGATCGTGGATCGGGTGATCGGGATGCGGGAGTTCCCGCGGGGCATGGACTGCGACGGCAAGGCTTCCATGCTGGGGGAGCACGTCCGTCGCGCGTGCCAGACGGCAGGCGGGGGGCTGGACGGGGACTTGCACAAACATGTGCGACAGGAGACTCGGGCATGGTGCAGCGATGGGGCGGATCTAAGTGTACCCCTGGCTGCAACAGCTACGTTCCCTGGGCTGGCGTTTCACGCGTGGGGCGAGTCTCGCTCGCCCCAGAAGGTTCTGGCCAATTCGATGAAAGGAGACAGCGAAATAACGACCACGGACGAGCTGCTGGTAACGGGTAAGAAGCCGCCAAGTCTGGCCAAGTTCCTGACTGCCTCCACCGTGTTCCGCAACGCACTCGGGGAG